AAATGGCTGGGCCTGGTGGCTCACGCCTGTAATCCCAGCACTTTGGGAGCCCAAGGCGGGTGGATCACCTGAGGTCAGGAGTTTGGTACCAGCCTGGCCAACATAGCAAAACCCCATCTCTACTGAAAATACAAAAATTAGCTGGGTGTGATGGTAGGCGTCTGTAATCCCTGCTACTTGGGAGCCTGAGGTAGGAGAGTTGCTTGAACCCGCGGGCGGAGGTTGCAGTGAGCCGAGATCGTACCACAGCACTCCAGCCTGGGTAACAGAGCGAGACTCCGTCTAAAAAAAAAAAAAAAAAAACAAAGACTAAAATGGTGGATTTCATGCGTTATGAATTTTATCTCAAAAAATAAATTAGGATAGCACCCCCGCCTACACAGGCTCTGTCCTGAGCAGCTCTCAGAAGTCTGTAAAATAGGGTTAAAGTGTCCTTGCCCTGCCTCCGGGTTCCCAGTGCTATGGGGACGTCACCGGCTACTGGAGAACAGAGGGATGCTGGCACCCATCCAGGGCTCAGGGCAGGGCAGGAGCTTGGTGGGTGGTACAGACTAGACTGAGAAGGCCCTTCCCCGGCCTTCACAGAGTGCCTTGCCACTGGGGAATTGAGTGAAGGCACAGACAAGGTTGTGAGGTACCCACGCTGCTGTGCAGCGTCACCACGCCCCAATGTGGATAACCTGTTTTCTTTGCTCATCTGGGTGGACTGGTGGGGCATTTGATTCTGGAGGGTGGGGTTCCAGTCTGCATGGTTCCTTGGGGATTCCCGGCCCCAACATGAAGGCAGTGTGACCTGAGCGTCTCCCAGTCCCCAAGGTGCTGACCCACGGCTGCCTTCCCAAATCCTCCCTGGGCCCTGCTGGGGGAGGCCTGGGAGCTGCCAGCATCTAGCAGGCCCATGTGAATGGCCTGGCTGCAGCACTGCCAGACAGGGCAAAGTTCCTGGCCCGGGGCTGTCTCTGAGTTCTGGAGCTGGCGGGGTAGGGACCAGCTCCTGTGAGCTCCCTCCACCCCCAGATCCACCCTTCAGGTCCAGGGCTATTTGGTGGCAGTTCCTGGTGGGGCAGGGGGATGGGAGGGATGGGAGCCTCCATCCGTGGACCCGGCGCCTCGTCTGCCTGCAGGTCTGGTGATTGTGGCCTGACCTCCTGCCCACCCCTTCTGGGCACCACGGCAATGCCCAGAGCCCCCAAGGGGCTGTGCAGGAGGGCATAAGATGGCACAGGGCTCTGCATAGCCACTAGGCTGGCAGGATGCATTCTGAGCTGAGGTCCTTTGGAAAGCGCCTGTAGGTTTCTGGCTTCTCCCTGGGGTGCTCCCCACCTGCCTGCTGAGTCTTCAGATGCCTGGGAGAGCAGGTCTCCCTTAGGTCTGCTGGTTCTGATGGTTCCCCTCCTTCTCTCCTGGGAGCTGGGCAGGTGCTCAAAGCGGGCAGTGTAGGCTGCTCAGCGTGCCCAGCTCCCAGGTTGCACCATGTGACCCAGGCCCCCTCCTGCCCCGCCTGGGCTGGTGAAGGGCCGTGGCTGGGTGCCCAGCGGTGCCTGCTAATGGGGAGCCCCCTCCCTGGGGCAGTGCCTGCCTGCTACCCACCTGGGCTGGGCATCCAGTCTGGCCTTGGCTGTTGTCATGGCAGCCAATGCCTGCAGCCGGGAGCTAAACTTGCTACCCTCAAGCCACCGTCACCACGGCTGTGATGAACATGGGGACATACAGGCTGGGTCGGGGAGGTGACCAGGCCTGGTTCTGCCCAGGCCCTGCTGCGGATGGTCACCATGGTCACAGCCCACATGGCCCGCCTGCCATCCCCTCATGCCATGGCCTGGGTTGTCTGAAGTTCCATGTCACGGATGAGGCCCCAGGATCACAGAACTGCCCACAGCCACACACATGGGCAGGAGTCGGGAGGCCCCGGCCCTCGGGCTCCCAGCCAGACTAGGGGAATGGGGCTGGCCCAATCTGGTGTTGCCAAGGTGGGGTTCTGTGAGGTGCCATTGTTGCTAGTGCCTGGTTTCAAAAACATTGCAGAAATGCCCTGCTGGCCACCCGCCTGGCTCTGAGGTCCCCACCTCTATGGAGAAACAGGGGCTTTAAGAAGCCCTGCGGGGAAGAAGCCCCATCTGCCCAGGTTCCCCTGAGGGTTGTCAGGTGCCTGCTGGGAACTGTCCTCCAAGTGGTGGTCTTCTTGGGGCGCTTGGTGTCCTCACAGCCCCTGTGGGTAGCTGGCACAGTGCCAGTGTTCCAGGGACTCAGGCGAGGCCTCTTGGAAAGGGTAATGTCCCTCTGATCCCAGGAGAACACCAAGGGCAGGTCCACGAAGGACAGCCTTCCAGTGAACCCATCCCACAGATGAGCACACTGAGGCACAGAGGACAGCCTTCCAGTGAACCCATCCCACAGATGAGCACACAGCAGAGTGAGGTTGAGGGATGAGCCCATCACACAGCTCACAATGGGGAGCCAGGAGGGGAACCAGGTCACACTCCCAAGCTGGCAGCCCTGTGTGAGGACAGTGGCCACGGACTGAGCAATGGCCAGGCCTCCGGGATTGAAAGGAGCTGACCCCTTCCCTGGTCCCCAGAGAACCTACCTGCCTTGGCTTTGAGCTGAGGCTCTACCTGGGGGGTCACCGGCTGAGTCTCGCACCCTCTCTGAGCCTCAGGTTCCCCATTTGTCACATGGGGAAGGCCAACACCCAGGGTAGATGGAGCCCGGGCCAGTGCTGGCAGCACTGGTGGTGTGGGTTTGCCAGGCGTGGGGCGCCTCTGTGTGCATGGGGTGGACCTGTGTGTGCCCTGCGGCCTCCCTGCCACAAATCACCCTCCTCCTGTATGCCAGGGTCACAGAAGCTGAAGACAGTGGCCAAGCCCCGCTTTTTGTGCCCTCCGCTTGATTGTTTCAGGCACCGGGTCTGGTTTGGTTCTTTGTCTACCCAAGTGCCCAGCACAGGGCTTGGCATGTGGTGGTGGCCTCTAAAAGCCAGTGTGTGACTATGAAACTAATCCACTCATAGCACTGCACATGCCTTTTGGGAGGGAGATGGCTCAGAGAGGAAAGGCCATCGCACCCGTTCCCCCAGCAGGATCTAGGAACCATGGGGAGCCTGCGGGCCCCTCCAGCCCCTCCACCGTGTGTCCTGGGGGTAGCCCCATCCCGCTGGGCCTCGGTGGCGCCATGTGCACTGGCTCTGGGGGTGCCAGGCTGCATCTCACCATCGGGCCAGCCCAGAAATAGCTGTGACCTTCCGCAGCCAGCTTGGCAGTGCTGGGGGCCGAGAGGCCTACGTGCGCGCCGGCTGAGTCCCCTCACCGTGCGGGGCTGGCTATTTTGGACGTGGCCTCCCGAGGCCAGGTCAGAGCTCTTTCCCGCGGCTCCTCAGGCCCCTCTGACGTGCATCCACTAGAGCCTTGGCCAGTGGCCCTGGCCAGCTCCATGATCTCAAACCCCCTCCTGCCCCCCTGACCCCACAGGCCCTGGGTAGCACAGAGGAGGGAATCCCAGGGACTGAGCACAGGGTGACCGCGCCTGCTGGGACGGTGACATGGAGTGTAGGGCTTGGCTGTTTTAAGAAAATGCAGAGAAAGTGCCCACCTTGGGTGGGCCCTGAATCCCGTCTCAGCCTCTCAGAGCTCTTGCTGACTGCACAGCCTGAGCCTCAGTTTACTCATCCATAAAAGGGGGTGATGGGCGCCTTCCAGGACTGATCTGCGGACAGACGTGGACGTTGCCTGTGCTGAGGGCACTGTCCAAGGCCACTACACAGAGCGGTTCTTGGGCTTTCTCTGCCTTTCACGGGACTGGACACTGGGTTCAGGGAGGGGTGCTGTGGGGTGTATGGGGGTGGTGCGCTGGGCAGTGGCTGCGGCTGGGCGCCTCCTCTTCTGTGATACAGCAGAGGTGTACATGACTGCTGCCCTGCCCAGGGCGTCTGGGTATGGTGGAAATGGCCCCAAGGTCCAGCCACCCTCCGAGACCACCAGCTTCCTGGACACCCTGCTGACAGGGTCCCACTGTGGAGGAACAGGTCGGCCCAGCTCCCCACTTCCCAAGTGAGCACGGGTGGCTGGGTGGGCATGGGGGATGGGCTCCCTTGCTGGAGGGCAGAACTCCCCTTCCCGTGAGGTGCTGGGTGGGGTGTGATCCTGCTCCTGGGTTTGGGGACAGGCATGCCAGGAACAGCAGGCAGGGGCTGCCTGCCTGCCTAGTGCTGATTGCATGCTCGTGGCCCTCAGGGCCCTGTCCCCTGGATGGTCCAGGGGTCCCAAGGGGGAGCCATGGCCTCTTCTCCATGGAGACGGCCCGTGGGCCCAAGGCCTGGCTCCATTCAGGCAGGCACATGGAATTCAGTCAAACTCTGGATCCTTTCTGCAGAGCAGGCTTAGCTTGAGCCCTCCCACAGCAAGCGCACCCGCTGCCCACCCTGCCCTCTTGGCCTCTGGGACAACTCTGTGGGCACTGCCAGGGGCAGTTCCTGTGTGTTCTCACCTGGTGATGGGTTCATGATTCCCATGCTGTGCGGGTGACTAACAAGGTCTGGGAGCTTGGGAGAGGGGCCCAGAGGCACACAGCATGCAAGGGAGGGTTGTGGAGTTCCCAGGGGGCACTTGGGTGGAGGCTCAGCCAGGCCCAGTGGGCTCAGGGCTGGCCTCATGCCCTTCCCCCACTGCGGACCACTTTGGGGCCTCTGGCTGATGCTGGTGGGTGAGGACCTTCCTGGGCAGCCTCCTCCGGCCAGCAGAAGGGACCATCAGGCCATTCGGACCCTTGGAGAGCTTGGGGGTCGGTTCCTGTCCTGGAGTCAGCTGTGTCTGCTGAGGGTCCACTGGTGTGTGGCACAGGAGGGGTAGGGGCTGTGCCCTGGTGTGCCAGGGAGGCCCTGAGCTCTCCGGGAGGCCAGATCAGACGCCTCCTCTGGGCCTGCTGGGGGCCTCTGCATTCTTGGCAGGGGCTCAGGGACTGGGGCGGGGAGAGGCTCCCTCTCAGAGGCCATGAGCTCCAAATGAAACTCCATGCCCTCTGGGACACCAAGCCCACTTCTGGGTACTGGCCTTTAGGGGCCTTGGATGTGGGTGGCACAGCACGGGCTAAATGGTGCCCAGGAGGAAGGCAGCAGGACTGTGGGCATGCAGGCCTAATGCCAGGGCCAGGGCAGGCTTCATGCCTGCTTCCTCCCGTCTAGAATCCTGGAGCCGCACAATTTCCGACCCAACACCCTGTACTCCAGTGACTGACTCAACAGAAGCTGCTGCCGGCAGGTGTGTTATAACAGAGCTCTGGGGTGGGAGGCTGGGGGCAGGGAGGGTTAGGGCCGACAACACAGCTCCCACCTGCCCAGGGCCAGGTGCGGCCGCGTGTGCGCGTGAGTGTGTGAGTGGGGCACCTGAGCTGGGTGTGGCCTGGAAACCTGCATGTTACGGAGGCCATGGTTTTGGAAACACTCAGGAGTCCAGCTGCGTCTGTTCCAAGATGGGTCAGGGTTGCTGCAGGGAGGGCAGTGACTGGTCCACAGCTGGTGTGGCTGTGCCATCCTCCTTCCTGTGCCATGCTCCTTCTAGCCTGGACAGAGGTCTTCCAGGCAAGATGAAAGATGGGGTGTGGACAGGAGGACATGGAGGATCCAGGGCTCATGGTGTCCCTGGAGGCTCTGGTGGGCACCGTAGGGCTGGACTGCTGCAGGGCAATGGGGTCCCCATCTTCCCAGCACAGGCAACTGATCTGGTCATCTGCTTCTGGGGCACGTGTGTGTGTGCGTGTGAGCACACAGCTCTGTGTATGCAGGTGTGTGTGCTTGCCAGAGCTCCCCACTGGGCAGTTTCTACACTGGGTTCTAAGGCATCCTGGGAGGTGAGGCATGAGCACTGAACTGGGAGTCCTGTCTGAGCCACTGACTTGGCCTGCCATTGTGAAGCTGTCCTGTCCAATCGCTGGACATTAGGCCACTTGTGTACAATGATCCCTGAGGTTTGTATCCTACCCTGGGGAGATCAAAAGGGGCCGAGAGTGACCCTGGGGTCTGGGGGCCCAGCCTGGTGGGTGACTCCAGGTAGACCTGGCTTCTGGGACTGTAGTGGGGGATGGTGGCTGCGGCAGGGGAGGTTCACTCACCGGGAGGCTGGAAGAGGTGGCTTGGTAGGGAGAGAGAAGGGCAGCCAGACAGAGGGCGCGTGGGAGCAGCAGCCTGGTGGCAGGTGTGAGTCTCCGCACTCTGTCTTGAGGAGCAGGAGAGGTTTGGGTGGGCGGCTGAGGACAGTGCGGGCACAGAGCTTGGGAAGAGCCCTAGGCTGGGGCGTAGTGACTGTTGGGCAGTCCCAGACTGGCACAGGTGGATGGGGTGCCTAGGCAGGGGTGGTGAGTTATGGGGCAGCTGTCTGGGTGGCTGGGGGGAGCAGGGATAAGTGTGGACTTCTTAGTGGCCGTTCTCTGCCCCAGGAGGTAGAGTGCTGGAGGCTGGGCTGGGCTGAGAGACGCCCCCTCATCCTTTCCAGGGTGAGGTAGGAGGGCTCCACCCCCTCCTGATCTCACCAGGCCTGGGGCAGCATCCTGATGGGGGAGGGGCAGGTGACCCTGGCCCTGGACTGCAGGAACAGCCCCTCCTCCCCTAGTGAAGTTCCCACTTCCTGCGGAAGGAACTATGTTAGAACTTGTGTGTGGGGGTTGGGGGTTGGGTGTGGGTGGTGGGGGGCCTGGTTGGGGACCACTAAGTCGCCTCCCCTGTCTGCCTGCACTTCCTCCTGGAGGAAATGGGGACAACAGGATGAAGTGAGGGCCTGCTGAGCCCAGGCCTGCCACCTGGGAGGGAAGAGGCCCAGGGGGCTGAGCAGCCGAGGCGGGCTGCAGGGTCCGGGCCCTTCTGTGTGGGCAGGTGGGCGTGCTGGGGATGCAGTGAGGCTCCCTCCAGCGCAGGAAGGAGCAGGCCCTGGGACCCTCTTCCCAGCCTACTGCAGGAAGTGAGGAGACAGGCCGGAGCCACGGGCAGCCCCCAGTCTTTCCCCACCCCAGTTGCAGGGCCTGGGTCTCCGTGCGCCATCCTCCTCCCGCCCCCTCCCGCTGTTACAGGGCCCTAGGGACCGCCCTGTGCCCCGTGGCTCGCCACGGTACCCGCCTCAGCCCTGGGACCCTGCGGCCCCGGTCCCAATTCGAGGCCCCAGCCGAAGCGATCCGGGGTTCTTCGGGGGAGTGGCCAGCCCCGCGCCCCCGCCTCCCACATGACTCCGGGTGGGCCCTTTTGACGTACGCGGTGGGCAGAGGGCGGGGGGCAGGGGGCGGGGCGGGGCGGGGGGTGGTGGGATGCAGGGGGCGGGGCGAGGGGAGATAGGCGGCAGGGGGCGGGGGGGGTGGAGGGTAGGGGGCGGGGGGTGGAGGGGTAGGGGGCGTGGCGGGGAGAGGGGTAGGGGGCGTGGCGGGGAGAGGGGTAGGGGGCGTGGCGGGGAGAGGGGTAGGGGGCGTGGCGGGGAGAGGGGTAGGGGGCGGGGAGAGGGGTAGGGGGCGGGGAGGGGGGGCTAGGGGGCCGCGGGGGGGCAGAGGGTTGGGGAGGGGAGTGGAAGGCGTGGGGAGTGGGGCGGGTAGGGCAGGGGAGGGGGGCGCGGGGGCGGAGAGGGCAGGCGCAGGCGGGGATAAAGCCCGCGGCGCGGCTGAGCTGACTCGGAGCGCGGAGGACCGGCCTGCCGGGTGAGTGTCTGCGCCGGCCTTGGCGGGCCCGGAAAGTGGGACAGACCAGGGAGAGCGGCCCGCGAGGGAGGGGGCCCTGCCTTCCGCGCACGCGCGCCGCTGGGCTTGAGCGTGCAGTCGGTCGGGTGGGCGAGGGCGCCGCCCTGGTGGCGAAAGCGCCTCCTCCAGAGCCCCCCTGAATGGCGCCGGGACCCCGCTCTCCCCAGACCACACGTGGCGATGTGCGGAGGCCGGCTCTTTGAGCTTTGTCCCTAGATCGCTGACCTCTGGCCTCGACTCCCAGCTGCACCATCCGGAGGCAGGGGTGGGGGTCCAGCGGGTGGGGGTCAACCTGATTCTTCTGCGGAGGAGAAAGCTCCCGATCCCCTCTGCTCATGGCCTGTCTTAATCACTCTGTGGCCGCATGGTTTGTCCCTTATCACTCTGTCACTAAAGGAGGTCCTGTGAGCGGTCACTCCAGGACGGCAGGGTGGACCAGGGCTGCCTGGGTCACCCCAGTCACACAGGTGCCCTTGGAGGTGCCGTGGGACCGGAACCAGGCTGGCCACGCGGCCCCGTGGTCGGCATGGCCATTAGAGCAGATGCAACTCTCGCCCGCACCGGAGTGTGGGCCAACTTCACCTCTTCATCCTCACAGCAGCCGGCGAGGCTGCTCCACCCCGCTGTGCAGTGCGCGGTCAGCGGGGGTTCAGAGCCGCAGACGCTCCCCATCTAATAAGCAGAGAAGACTCAAGACCTTCTGACCCCGACAGTCATCAGGCTCTGTCAAAAATCGGGTTCCCACCATGTGGCAAACGTCACGATTATTGTTAACAAATGGCAGCTGAGGTGGTCATCAGCTCTTATCTTGGGTTTTAATCATCCCTGTGAGGTCTAAAGTCTCAGTGGCTTTCTGGGTTGGTTGGCCAGTCCCTGGCTGAGTTGGGGATCTGAGAAGCTGGCCTGGGGTGCAGTGGCTGAGTCCAGGCGTGAGTCTCCTGCCATCTGCTCGGCTGCTCTGCAGGCTGCTCGTGCGTCGTCAGCCTCCCCTGGGCTCTGAACAGATGAGGCTCTCAGGATTTGCTGGGGTGGAAGAGAAGGAGCCCTGGGCTTAGCACTGGCAAACCTGGTTTCCAGAGGCTCTGCCCCGTCCAGCCGGCCTCTGTGTCAAATGGGGCTCATAAGGCTTGGGTCTCTGGTGGGGGTGACATCACGCATGGGGGCGGGGATGATGGAACATGGGGCATGAAAGGGCTCTGAGATGCCAGTGGGAACAGACTTGACGTGTGCTGGCTCGTGAGGCTCAGTGGAGTCTGATACATTCCCCACCTTGGGAGCCCATACCACCCTCTGGGAGAATCTCGCCCTGCCTGAAGGCCACCTCCTCAGAGAGGCCTCCGTGATTGCCCCGCCTCTGTCAGCAATCACAGGAGGGACGGGACTCAATGGTTCTGTGGGTCGAATGCCACTTCCTGTTGCCATGATCCTTTGCCTGGTTAGTGTGTGTCCCCGCCCCCACTGACCACCCAACCAGTGCCCTCTGAGGGTAGGTGATGGGGTTTGCTCACTCCTGACCCCCACCCAGCACCTACCATGGGGCCTGGAGCCCAGAGCGTGTTTGGCAGGTACCTGTATGAATGGAAACATGGTAGGGGAGACCCAGGCACTGAGGGCACCTGCAGGCTTCCTGGAGGAGGAGGGACTCTGGTCTGGTCTTGAGCATGAGGAGGTGTGTCCAGGGACATTCTGGGGAGAGAGAAGAGGGTACCTGGAGGTGTGACTCCTACAATCCCTCCCCCTCCTCACCTGTGAGGGAGGCAAGGGCAGAGGGGCCAGTGGGCCAGGCTGAGAAGCCGGAACTTGGTTTTGTAGGCCATAGGGCGCCATGGAAAGTATGTGAGAAGCAGCAGGGTGGGGACCACCATTGTGTCTCCAGTCCTGTGCCAGGCCTCGCTGTAGGGGGGTGGCTTGCCAGGTGGGTGGGCAGATGACGTGGGCTCTTGACCCGAAGTCTAGTCTGGGCTGGAGGTGGGCTGCACACTTACCAAACCTGAATCAAGCTGCCTTCAAGAGACACGGATGCATGTACCTCCCTTGATACCTGCTCTGGTGAGGAGGCTGGGCTGGCTGATTGGGTGGGGGTGGGGGATGGGAGGGGTGGTAGACTAGAGACCCCAACCAGGTGGGGAGACCAGTGGGCCCCTGGTGCCTCAATGGTAGAAGCAGGGCTGGCCCAGTGGTGGCCCTCTGGGGGCAGATCTGTGCTCTCCCATTTGGTTCTCTGGTTGGGGTCCTGAGCTGCCTGGGGGTGTCAGGGACATTGACAAGGAGAAGGCATAATGACATGGGTGAGAGGCCCTGAGACCTGGGCCCACAGCGAGGTGGGGGTCAGGGAGGCAGCGGCCAGGGGCTCACTGTGGCCTCGGAGGACACCCAGGCCTGAGTGTCCCATTCTTGCCTGGACCCAGACCAAGACCAGAGGAGAAGGGGTGGCATCCTCTCTGGGGTTCGGGGATATAGGGGCCACACAGGCAGCACCAGGCACTGTTCTGAACACTTTTTGTGCCCCCATCCATTTATTTCTGATAACTCTGTGAGGGAGGGACGG